ATACACATAAGATAATTCATACAGGAGAGAAACCCTACAAATGTGAAGAATGTGGCAAAGAGTTTGCACACTCCTCAACCCTTTATACACATAAGCTAATTCATACAGGAGAGAAACCCTATAAATGTGAAGAATGTGGCAAAGCTTTTAAGCAGTCCTCAACCCTTTCTACACATAAGAGAATTCATACAGGAAAGAAACTCTATAAATGTGAAGAATGTGGCAAAGAGTTTGCACACTCCTCAACCCTTTCTACACACAAGAGAATTCATAGAGGAGAGAAACCCTTTAAATGTGAAGAATGTGGCAAAGGCTTTGCACACTCCTCAGCCCTTTCTACACATAAGAGAATTCATACAGGAGAAAAGCCCTACAAATGTGAAGAATGTGGCAAAGCCTTTAAAAAGTCATATAACCTTACTATACATAAAAAAATTCATGCTGGAGAAAAACCCTACAGATGTGAAATATGTGGAAAAGCTTTCAAGCTGGCCTCACACCTTACTAGACATAAGAAAATTCACACTGGAGACAAACCCTACAGATGTGAATAAGGTGGCAAAGCCTTCAACTGGTCCTCACACCTTACTATACATAAGAAAATTGATACTGGAGAGAGACCCTACAGATGTGAAGAATGTGGGAAGGCCTTTAAGCAGTCCTCAACCCTTGCTACACATAAGATAATTCACACAGGAGAGAAACCCTATAAATGTAAAGAATGTGGAAGAGCCTTTAAGTGGTCCTCAAACCTTTCTACACATAAGATAATTCATACAGGAGAGAAACCCTATAAATGTGAAGAATGTGGCAAAGCATTTAAGACGAGCTCTAACCTTATTGTGCATAAAAGAATTCATACTGGAGAGAAACCCTACAGATGTGAAGAATGTGGCAATGTCTTTAAGAAGTGCTGTAACCTTATTGTGCATAAGAGAATTCATACTGGAGAGAAACTCTACAGATGTGAAACGTGGAAAAGCTTTCAAGCTGGCCTCACACCTTACTAGACATAAGAAAATTCATACTGGAGAGAAACCCTACAGATGTGAAGAATGTGGCAAGGCCTTTAACCGACCTGCAACCCTCACTACACATAAGAAAATTCACACTGTTGAGAGACCATACAGATGTGACGAATGTGGCACAGCCTTTAAACAGTCCTATTACCTTAGTATACATAAAAAAATTCATGCTGGAGAAAAACCCTACAAATGTGAAATATGTGGAAAAGCTTTCAAGCTGGCCTCACACCTTACTAGACATAAGAAAATTCACACTGGAGAGAAACCCTACAGATGTGAAGAATGTGGCAAAGCTTTTACCCGATCTGCAACCCTCACTACGCATAAGAAAATTCACACTGGAGAGAAACCATACAGATGTGAAACGTGGCAAAAACTTTCCGTCGTTCTCCACCCTCAGTAGACATAAGGTAATTCATACTGGAGAGTAACCCTATGAATATAATGAACGTAGGAAAGCCTTTAACTAGCTCTCAACTCTGACTACATATGAGAAGTTATATGAAACATAAAACCTACAAATATAAAGAATGTGATAAAATTTTCAAAAAAGTTCTCAGCCTTTATCACACATAATTTATGCTGGATAGAAGGCCTATAAGTGTGAAGAATGTGGCCAACCCTGTAAGAAGTTCTCTTTTTCCCTTTTGAGAGAGAGTTTTCACTCTCATCACCAAGGATGAAGTGCAGTGGCCCAATTTTGGCTCACTGCAACCTCTGCCTTCTCGGTTGAAGCCATTCTCTTGCCTCAGCCTCTCTAGTACCTAGGATTATAGGTGCCCACAACCATGCCCTGCTAATTTGTGTATTCTTAGTACAGACGGGGTTTTGCCATGTTTTCCAGACTAGTGTCAAACTTCTGACCTCAGGTGATCCACCCACCTCGGCCTCCTGAAGTGCTAGGATTACAGGTGTGAGCTACCACACCTAGCCACAAGTTCTCAATTCTTAAGAGACATGGCATGTTGGGATTCACTCAGGGTGGTGACAGAGATATTAAGTGAGAATATTAGAAATAGTTATAGCCACAAACCTCCTTGGAAGACAGAGAGTTTCGCCTAAGTTTCAGAAAGTTTCTGCCAAAGGCACCTAAAACACTTTACATTTAATTATAAGAAAAGCAAACAGCTAGGGAATGCAAGGCAGTTTATCTATATAGTTTATTTACTCAATTAACTTTTGATCAGCCTCTGGAGTAGCTGGGACCACAGGCGCGTGCCACCACGCCCGGGCACTTTGTGTGTGTGTGTGTGTGTGTATTTTTAGTAAAGACAGGGTTTCACCGTGTTGGCCAGGATGGTCTCTATCTCTTGATGTCATGATCCGCCCACCTTGGCCTCCCAAAGTGCTGGGATTACAGGTGTGAGCCACCACACCCTGCCATTATTGAATTTATTAATGCAAAATTTTATGGTGTATGTTTCAGATGCTCCCCAGAAACTGCCTGTTAAAGCACAGGCAACTTTGTTTACAGAAATAACATTCTTGAGCACAACAATAAAAGCCCTCTTCAAACAAACAAAAAATAATTTTTTTTTTTTTTTTTTGAGACGGAGTTTATCTCATGTTACCCAGGTTGGAGTGCAATGGCGGGATCTCGGCTCACCGCAACCTCCGCCTCCTGGGTTCAGGCAATTCT